GTATAGGGTGGTGTAAGGTGGTCTTAGGTGGTATAAGGTGGTGTAAGGTGGTATGGGGTGGTCTAAGGTGGTATAACGTGGTGTAAGGTGGTATAAGTTGGTGTAAGGTGGTATAAGGTGGTGTAAGGTGGTATGGGGTGGTCTAAGGTGGTATAACGTGGTGTAAGGTGGTATAAGTTGGTGTAAGGTGGTATAAGGTGGTGTAAGGTGGTATAAGGTGGTGTAAGGTGGTATGGGGTGGTGTAAGGTGGTATAAGGTGGTGTAAGGTGGTGTAAGGTGGTATGGGGTGGTCTAAGGTGGTATAACGTGGTGTAAGCTGGTATAACGTGGTGTAAGGTGGTATAAGTTGGTGTAAGGTGGTATAAGGTGGTGTAAGGTGGTATGGGGTGGTCTAAGGTGGTATAACGTGGTGTAAGGTGGTATAAGTTGGTGTAAGGTGGTATAAGGTGGTGTAAGGTGGTATGGGGTGGTGTAAGCTGGTATAGGGTGGTGTAAGTTGGTATGGGGTGGTGTAAAGTGGTATAAGGTGGTGTATGGTGGTATGGGGTGGTGTAAAGTGGTATAAGGTGGTGTAAAGTGGTATAAGGTGGTGTAAGTTGGTATGGGGTGGTGTATGGTGGTATGGGGTGGTGTAAGCTGGTATAGGGTGGTGTAAGTTGGTATGGGGTGGTGTAAAGTGGTATAAGGTGGTGTATGGTGGTATGGGGTGGTGTAAAGTGGTATAAGGTGGTATAAGTTGGTGTAAGGTGGTATAAGGTGGTGTAAGGTGGTATGGGGTGGTGTATGGTGGTATGGGATGGTGTAAGTTGGTATAGGGTGGTGATGTGTGGTGTAGGATGGTGTAGGGTTTTTTCAAGGTGTTATGGAATAGTACTGACCTTTGACCTTCAGCTTGACCTTCTTCTTCACCTGAACGGTTCTCCTCCTGCTGTAGGCGGTGCAGGTGTAGATGTCCGTGTCAGCCCGGGTGGGGTGTTTCAGAGTCAGACTCAGGTCTCCAGACCTCAAGAGGTCTTCCTTCATCTCGGTTCTGTCTCTGTAGAACATCAGTTGTTCTTTAGACTGACCTGAGTTCTTCTTGAAGACATGAATCTTATTCTTGTCTCGGTTCTTCCACTCCACTTTAACACTTTCAGGCAGGTCCAAGGTGGTCCTGCAGGGCAACAGGACAGACTCCACCCCTGAGTCTACCTCCACGTCTGTTTTATACCCTGAGAGAACGAGAAGGAGGATCAGCTGTAGGACAGGTGAGGAACCCTGAAGAACTTATGATCCCTGCAGAGCAAAAATTTTCATGTATTTGTTAGACCCATTTGGATCTCTGAGCTGGGTCAGGACAGTCCAGTGACAACAATAAAGACCTGTCCATCAGCAGTGTTTCAGGTGAGTCAGGGTCTGAAACTCACCTGGCATGAAATGGTGTCGAAACTGATACATGAGACCTCCAGAAAGAACCAGAACTAGAACCAGCAGGACCAGCAGGACAACTCCAGGCCACCATGGATGGTACTGTTCTGTGAAGAAGCATGAGACACATCCTGATCTCTGACCTCTTCCTGCAGTAGATGTTTGGTCTGCACTGACCTTTGACCTGCAGGTCTACATCATTCAGGTTCTGCTGTCCTCCTCTGGAGGTCCTGACGGTGCAGGTGTAGGTTCCACTGTCAGACAGTTGCAGGTGTCTCAGGTTCAGACTCAGGTCTCCAGTTTCCAGAGCGTCCTCCTTCATGGAGGTTCTGCCTCTGTACAGCTCGTTCTGGTCCTCCAGCTTGTCTCCTCCTGGCTCACGCCAGTGGACGGTGGAGGGACGGAGGTCCTGACGGACCCAGACCACCGTCGTGTTGTCTGGTTCAAGTATGTGATGCTGACAGGGCAGCAGGACGAAGAGGTCCCCCTCAGACCTCTCCAGCTCTGAGACCTGCTGGGACACTGAGGACACAGAGATGGAGACGGAGACGGAGACAGAGACGGAGTCAGGGACAGAGACAGAGACGGAGACAGAGACGGAGTCAGGGACAGACCATCACAGCAGCTGGTTTTAGAACAAGTCTTTAAATTAGTTACTGAGCTGATGTAAGGTGGTGGTAGCTGAGAGTCCTTCCTAACCCACCTTCTGAGTGCTGACAGATAAAACATCTGATCTTAGTTTGAACTCTGACTCGGATCGGATCAGATCATCAGTAGACCATCAGTAGATTGTCAACAGATCATCAGTAGATCATCAGTAGATCATCAGTAGATCATCAGTAGATCATCAGTAGATGTCAGTGGATCATCAGTAGATCATCAGTAGATCATCAGTGGATCATCAGTAGATGTCAGTGGATCATCAGTAGATCATCAGTAGATCGTCAACAGATCATCAGTAGATCATCAGTAGACCATCAGTAGATCGTCAGTAGACCATCAGTAGATCATCAGTAGATCATCAATAGATCATCAATAGATCATCAGTAGATCATCAGTAGATCGTCAGTAGATCGTCAGTGGATCATCAGTAGATGTCAGTGGATCATCAGTAGATCAGTAGATCATCAGTAGATCATCAGTAGATCATCAGTAGATCGTCAGTGGATCATCAGTAGATGTCAGTGGATCATCAGTAGATCATCAGTAGATCATCAGTAGATCATCAGTAGATCATCAGTAGATCATCAGTAGACTATCAGTAGATTGTCAACAGATCATCAGTAGATCATCAATAGACCATCAGTAGACCATCAGTAGATCATCAGTAGATCATCAATAGATCATCAGTAGATCATCAGTAGATTGTCAACAGATCATCAGTAGATCATCAGTAGATCATCAGTAGATCATCAGTAGATCATCAGTAGATCATCAGTAGACTATCAGTAGATTGTCAACAGATCATCAGTAGATCATCAATAGACCATCAGTAGACCATCAGTAGATCATCAGTAGATCATCA